TTAGCAATATATTGCATATAATAATACACTATTGGATTTTATATTTTACGCTGATTTTGGAGGGCCTCACTTATGGAGTTCGCCTCAAGCCTCGAAAGCCACAGGACCGATCCTGCTCATTAATAAAAATTATTGATATCAATTTTTAAAATCATTTTTATCTCTCAAGCATTAAAGTACAATAGATGTTAAAGTTGTTTCATATGGCTTCACCTATAATTTATTTACTTGGACCCAACTCTACTTGTTTCTATATACGGTCAAGATTGGCATGAAACGAAAAAAGTGACTTATTCATAGGAGCTTTAATTGGAAATACCTTTAATAGAAATGGACCTGTATCAAATTGAAATTGTTATTGGAACTTGGCATAATATCTCTTGCCTCTTGATTGATCCATTTTCTTCCTTTGTACATAGTGCATTATTTAATGATTCATGAAAAGATTATGGTTTTAAATGGTTCTTATTAATTTGCGAATGAATTCTGGTTTTTGATGTTTAAATTAATCTTTTTATTGTTTAGAATGGGTTCACAAGTCTAAAGATGATGCCACAAAAAATAATGTGTAATTTTACCTTAATTTGTCTGAAAATAGTAACTTAACTAAAGTCTTAATTAAACCATTAGTTTTGATTAAAAATATATTTAAAATGGAAAAGAGCTCCTCATTCATTATTAGATTGAAACTTCCACATGTAGAAGAAAGAATAAATATGATATTTTTACTTGAAAAATAAACTGCAATAAATTTTGAGCTCTATTTATTATCTCCTTTAATTCCTCCTATCACATGGCTAGCTTCAAATTGTTATATAAAAATTTTGAGCTATTTCGTTAACCAGGAAAATAAAAAACAAAATAATAAAAATTAGACTGCTAGTTTACTTATGAAACCCTGAACTTTCTATTATTTTTGACATTGAAGATTGATTCGTTTATTATAGCTTTGTATTTACACATATAATTTTCTTGTTTAAAATTTATTTAATGCATAAGTTGCGATCCCTAACCGTTTCTTTTTTTTTTTTACAAACTTTACCATAACCTTCATTTTTTGCAACCGAAGGTCTCTAAACTTTCATAAATATACACTTGAGCTTCATCTGGACGAAAACAGTTCAAAACACCGTCAGTTGACTGAAAAAAATTAAGAAATCAACATCTAATAAAATTGTCTAAAATACTGTCCAAAAACACTATCTATAAAGGTATCAACATCCAATAAAATTGTTGCAATAGCAGATAGTTCAAAGAATGTTCTTGGTCAACAGATGGTGTTTTGGACGGTTTCCATCCAGATGGACCTCAAGTACATATTTATGAAATGTTAGAGACCTTCGTTGGCACAACATGAAGGTTTAGGTAAAGTCTGTAAAAGATAAAAAGGTTAGAGATCGCTGGTTCAATTTTCCTTATTATTATTATTGTTGTTGTTATTAATATTAATATTATTATTGTTGTTGTTGTTATTTGACTTTTTGAGTGGAGGAAGTTATTTGACGAAATGTCTATTGTAACTAAAACAAAATAATGGCATAAAACTAATGGTCGTTGTAGATGGATTCTATCCAAAGTGATCATTTACGCCAAAAATTTACATCACTTTTGAATTGTTTGAACCAAAAATGCAAGTTGAACAAATATTTGGAACAATATGCATTAGTTCCCGAATTTAAAAAGCAACACTAATACATAAACTTAGGAGGGTCAATTTGGTTTGCTGTCTTGCACCGCCTGTGACTCGACTCGAAAAAAGTCCAAGTCGACCCGACTCAAGGCTCGATAGATAAGCTGACGCTCAAATCGACGCCCCATGACAAGTTACATGGGCCATTTTCGGCCCTTGACTAGCCAAGTCAAAAAAAAATAAAGCTACAGGCAACTATGTAGCTGCCTGTTAGCAGAACATGTAGCTACACAGCTGCCTGACACGCAACATTTTGTAGCTACGTTATATTTAAAAAAAAAATAGCCGAATTGGCTTGATAAGGTCCGAGCCGAAAGCTCAAGTCAAACAAAAGCTAGACTCGGCTTTGACCAAAAAAATCCCAACGCATTTTTACTCGAGCCTAGCAAGACTCTCAAGTTTCAGCTCGACTTGACTCGTTGACATCCTTACATAAACTATCGTCACGAGGTACGAGAAAAAGACAAGAGTTGGCACATGTGGTGAAATATTTTCTGTCTCCCAAGTCCCACATAAGGAGTAAAATGGTTGCACATTTTATTTTATGTTGTACTAAACAAAGAGACTCCTTATGTTCAGCCAAATTTCCGCTAAAATTTTCTCTATCGTTTCTTTTTTCATCCCCCCCTCCGCCCGCCTTTCTTTTCGGGGTTCTTTTTTCTATTCCTTCTCATGTATTTATGGTGCATTTGGAATTTATACTAATATCTATAACTTCATTATTATAAAAAAAATGAAACAGAACAAAATACCTTTTAATTAAAAATTACAAATCGCACCTGATGCGAATCCCGTAGCAACGTTGACTAGAAAACCCGCAACAAGATTGACGAACCCAAGAAAGCCAAATTCATCCAAGAGTTTAGGATTAACCCAAAAGAAAGTCGAATAAAAAAATCCAACAAGAACGACGCTTGAAAGACCCCTTGATCACGCAATCCAAGAATTAAATCCGGTTGTTTGAACATCACAAGTTATCACTTGATAAGTTCAAAATTATTCAATGAAGAACGATGAAGAGAAGACAATACGCCTCACTTTAATTCAATATCAATAATATCAAAGGTTTTTTTACAATTGAATGAAAATTTCTATTTATACTAAACCCTAGAATAGAAGTCAAAAGGAAATATAATTCTAATAATCTAACAAAATCCCTAAAATATTCGTCCAATATGGTAGGAGTTTGATTAAGAATGAAATTCTAGTAAAATAAGGAAAAACGCGGAAAAAAGGAAAATCGCGCCCAGAAATCAAACATGCTGTCGCATGGTTATAACTCGTGTGGCCGCATGGTAATAAAATTTCGGCCATTGAATTCTCGGCCTCATGTCGTGCGGTCGCACCATGCTGCCACATGGTTATACAACACACTCTCTTCTTCAGCTGCTTGTAACGCATTGATCCATTTAGTTTCGGTCTTAGACCCGAACACGAAACTTGTCCCATTTTGAGTCCCGAACATGGTTCTATCAATAGTTTATTGAACGAGTAGTCCCATCGCTTGTTTCACTTATTTTTCTCTCGATCGCGTCATCGGTCTACCTTTGATTATCAACGAGTCTTGTCTCGCACTTGTCTTCTTTTGGCTCGGCCCTTGGATCACATCATCCCCTCCCTCTTCAAAAGGATTCGTCCTCGAATCTGAACCTACTTCAAACAGAGAGAGATCGGATACATTAAAAGTAGCCGAAACATTGTACTCACCTCGAAGATCCAACTTGTAAGTATTGTCGTTTATCTTTTCAATCACTTGGAATGGACCATCGCCCCATGGTTACAACTTGGACTTCCTTTGCTCTGGAAACCGCTCTTTCTTGAAGTGCACCCAAACTCAATCTCTTGGCTCAAATGTCACGCGCTTCCTACCTTTGTTTGCTTGCGACGCAACCAACTTACTTTTGTTTTCAATTTGCGCTTTTACCTTTTCATGGAGTGACTTAACCAATTCCATCTTCTTTATGCCATTTAAACTACCACATTCATTCACAGGTAAAGGAATTAAATCTAAAGGAGTTAGTGGATTAAAACCATATACAATTTCAAATGGAGAATATGACGTAGTAGAGTGAACAGCTCGATTGTATGCAAATTCAACAATGGTAGACACTCCTCCTAGCTCTTCAAATTTTTATTGATTACTGTGCATAACATATGAGCATTTCAGATAGAAAGGTGAACGGAAAGCATGGGTAGCTGATGTATGTAAATCTTTATCACTCCAAAGCACTTGTTTATCCTATGGCTAAGCACTCAAGCTAAGCTCCTAACAAACAACAAGTTGGTGTACCATAATATCGATGGAACATGTGATCTATGTGAATCGTCGAATGAAAACGGTTCAACACTTATTCTTTCAATGTTCATCGAGCTCCTCCATTTCAACGCAGATAAGATCATGACTTGACATTACTAGATCAATGACTACGATGAAGTGGATAAAAAAGGAGGCATGTGAGACATCTTGGCATAGTAAAGTGGAGAGAATTGCTCTTGCGGGTACAGTTTAATACATATGGATGGCTTGAAATAGAAAATTTTTGGAGGATCTTAAGCCACATTTGGATAGCATAGTGAGATGAACTAAAACACATGTATATAAAGTCATGTTTTCTTTATATCATAATGTTTTGGTTCATTTTGAATCTCTAACGTTGTGTTGATAGATCTTTGTCGTTTGATCTTTTGATATTTATTTGCCAGAGTAAGCCCGGTGTAATTGTACATGAATTATTGATTAATGGAATTTACATTTACCAATCAAAAAAGTTAACTGGTTGCATTTTAGGGTGGTTGGAAGGTAAAGAAAATGACACCTTGGTGTATGTAGCAACAAGTTATTGGGCTTTTGATTGTTCGGTCATTATGCATCTCTAGTAAGGTTGACATCGTGTGATCAATATTGAAGGTTGCATTCATGCCAATATTGTAGGTGCTAATGATTTAGAATAATGAGAATTGGAAATTTTGCAAAAGCAAAAAATTTAGAGTCCATTACAAATCTTTGAATCATTCAATTTAATTATACACAATGATCTGGGTGGATTATTAGAATATAGATAAAACTAGACAAAATTAAACGAGGATGTTAATATTTTATTTATAGTATTGGTCATCTACCACAAGACACTTTCCTAAAAATCAAATGTACCTTGGTAGCTTGCACAATAACTTGTTGCCTAGAAATGCCAACACGAGCATCCAAAAGACTGAGAATTTCTAAAGGTTATACATCTCCTTTCCAAGAAAATAATTAGATGTATTCATGGGCAAATTTCACGTCAACATAAAAATAATAATAAATTTCATAGTTCATTTTCAACTTTTTGTTAATGTTATGGAAACACTCACGTGAGTTTGGACAAGAGTAAAAATAACAAATTAACCTTTGAAAGTAGGCTTTACATGTTTTTTTATGTGCATGATGACATATTAGATGAAGAAATTATTAAAAAAAAATTAAGATGAAAATCAGACAAGAAAAATCGTATTTAAAAAATTTCCCGTCCCCTACAATGTATAGAGAAATTGTTTGAATATCCATTATTTTGAAAATTTAAGACGTTTTGATCGATAACAACTACTACTCAAATTTGAAAAATCTTAAAATTCAGTTTGCTTGACATGAAATTTAGGATATTGATTCTTAATCCAAGTCGCGGTTGTGGCCGAGAAATAAGAAAGTGGTGATAAAGTCCTGATCGATAGGTTTGAATCCACTTTGTGAATAAGTCAAAATAGGAAGATACAAGGGGAGTTCTTCTTAGTGTCTTTTTTTTTTTTTTTTTTTGGAAAATTAATAAAAATGGATACTATCATACTTTTGATTGATTAATTGGTGAGTTGTTTAACCCGTGGCATGGGGACAGTGGATATTTTCCTTCGAGGTTTACCATGTTATATCTAGTGTTCGAGTTTTAATGTGATACTTAATTTCGCACTAAGTCAAAAACTTCTTGAATGCATTATCCACCTGCACGTTACAATCAAAACTGTTAAGAACTTACTATAGGAAGTTCTGACTATTTCTCAACCAGTATAATAATAGTGAAATTAAAATTCAATTCTAATTTATCTAGGTTTTAGAATTTACAACATTAATTGATAATTGCTTATGAAATAATTCGCCACAGTGGTTGTGAAACTTTTCGAGGTCAATTGTGATTGAACTCAAAGGTTCTATAAAGATTTTTCGAGATTAAATTTATGTTTTATGTGTTAATACATATAGTAGATAAGTTCTCTTTAAATAAAAATCGAATATATAGTATCCTAGAATTATTATTACCAACATTATAACTTGAAATTTATTCACATTTTCTTAAATGAGAGTTTCCAAGTTGTTAAAATATCCATAGCTATAATATTTATAATTGATATCTATATATTGAAATTAGATAAAACTATATGAATTTTGAAAAAGACATTTATATTTTAACATTTATCAATTATTCAATTCAGTTTTACCATTCAATATACTAGATTTACTATTAATTAAATATTTGTCGAATTGAGAATTCTATTTTGTTATCATTCTAATAGCTATGATTGTCATTTTTTTACGTCTCTTTTTCATGAATAGAATTATTTAATAGTTCACTGAATCCATTGGTTGTCCTAGAATAAATTGAAAGCCTGGATTTATTTTCTATAATAAGAAAGGCATAACTTATTTTTCAAATTCTACTATTATTTTGTAATAATTATTGTGATCAAAGCAGTTCCATTGTGGAGCATATCTTCATACTCTTATGACGTTGTAAAAGAGAGAAGTGGGTGCTATGTAGTGAGAATCATTATAATTATATACCAAGAAATTCTCGTTGGATAGGAGACAAATACTAAATATTTGAAAAGACGGGATGCTTCTCACAATACTCATATGGACGGTCAATGTTTCATGTGATATTATGTTACTCAACAACAAAATATTTAACAAGTGTTTATATGGTCATTCGAACTTGTGATTGTGGTTAATTATTTTGCGTTAATTTTTATTTCATTGATTTAGGTACCAAACATGCTTTTTGAGGGAAACAAGTTTAATTGAGGGAAACAATAAAAGTCTTCACCTACATGCCTCAAAACCACGTTGAAGAACAATAAATGCTTTTTCAGGAAAACAAGTTTAATTGATTGAACTTGTATTGGGAAGGTAGCCATATATGTCTTCAAGTTACATGCCTCTAAACCATGCTATTGATGTGTTTTGTATGAAGAGGTACATTTTACTATTAATGCTTTCAATAACTCGTATACATTTCAAGAAATCCAATTAGAAAGTCATAAATGCCACACATAATAAATGCCACACATAAGGCAAATAACTCACCCTATTCTCGAGAAAAGTAACTCCCCATACTACGATTAGTTCAAAAATAAACTGACGTCTATTTCACACGTAAATAATTACTTTTAGTTGGAATATATATGCTACTTGTACATAATACGATATCTATAATATTATCCACCCCCTCATATGGAGGGAGACCAACGGCACGTGTAGCATCACCCTTTTTAGTTAACGCCGTTGATTGATTATAAAGCTTGAAGAATTAGCATTTCATTTGTTGTTCTTCTTCTATTTAATAATAATGAACTGGAAATGTTTTCACAATACTTGATTTGAAAATGCATTTGCATTGTGCTCTTTTCTTATAATTTGATTCAAGTAAGTGATATATTCAAATCAATTAATTGGTGGCACTATAAGGAGGTTAAGAGGTAAAAATCCTACGTCTTTCAAGAAAATGACGTCGTGGAGTATGTAGCAATAAATTATTGGGCATTTGTTTGTTTGGTTACTATGCATCTCTAGTAAGGCTGACGTCCAGTGATCATTGCTGGAGGTGGAATCCATGTCAATATTGTGGTGCTTATAATGACTTAAAAATTACAAGAATTGAAAATTGTGCAAAAAACTAAAAATTTAGTTGATTATAATTCTTTGTGTCATTCAATTTAATTATGTTCATCAAAAGATTGATTAAACTAACTATCACTCACAATAATCAGGGTGGATTATTATTTATTATAATTAGATAACACTAGACAAAATTATATAGGGATGTGAATATTTCCTTTATAATATTGATGATCCACCACAAGTACTGTCCTAGAAATCTAATGTACCTTGGTATCTTGAACAAGATTCATTCAGATTTTGTGTTACTAATGTGTCGTCAAAAATATAAACCTAGGATTAGGATAATTAAAATGGAAGAGAAAAGGGATTTTATGGCGGAGTAGATCAGGGCTTTTCCTTTACGTGCAAATTTAAGTTAAATTGAATTGTTAAAGATTGATCACATTTAAATTATAACTTGTCATGTTTTGTTCTCTTTCGCGTATACAACAGAAGAAATAGTCTATCATTGAGCTTATTTTCTTCTTGTCTTTGTCATTTGCTCAAATGATAAAATATTGAGGGTCTGGTAAAGCATATGTGGTGGCATATTGGAGGGGTAGGGTTCTAGAGAGATCATATATTTGTTACAATTTCGTATATAGCAGTAGTCCGTAATTTCTTCGATTTTTGAATTAGTTATGTAAAATTTTTGTTATTTTTCTCCATAAATATTTCTCTCTAGTAATACATTTTGAGTACAAAGATCATGTGACCAAATGATGTTCTCCTAACATATTATTGACTTCATACACGTAGAGTAATAACAAGAACATTTTTATTTATGCATTAACAATTGAATTATGGGAGCACGTGCATATCTACCAAACCCCCTCCCCCACGTCTATATATATACACATAAGATGAGGGAAGGATAGAGCTAATGCAGCACTACGAGATGGAGGAAAAATTCGAGCAATTCTGTGGTATCAAGGTGAAAGTGATTCTGCAGATGAAACAAGAGCTAAAGTGTATAAGAAGAGGTTGATAGAATTTTTCCTTGACATCCGGCGAGATTTAGCTTCCCCTGTGCTCCCAATTATTCAGGTATGGTTACTTTGCAAATTTTCCATAAGGTGATTTGATTTTTCGTCTTCGTCAGATTTTTCGTTCTCTTTGCAGTCAGCATTTTAATTCCATTGATCAACATTTGCCGTTGGTCTGGTTTTTCACTTTCATTTCTGACAACATTCTGGTAATTTTAGATTTCAGATCGTTGTTCCCCCTAAAAATGGGGTTTTCAGTTCGTCTTCAATGAGTTTTCATCTGATAATGTGCTGACATTAGTTGCTAACTGGTTTTATAGCATTTATGCTTAATGGTTTTGGGGGCATTTAAAATTCCTTAGGCGTCTCTTCAACAATTTGGTACAATTTTTGAAGTTTTGTTAAAATGACAAAGTATTTGTTTTCATTTTCCAGTGATTCTCATATATATGTCAATTAATTGTATCTTGTCAGCACCAGCAATATTTTACATCGAATAAATCATAAAATTATATGATAATTGGTTGCAGGTGGCATTGGCTTCAAATGCGGGGCTCTATTACGAGGTTGTAAGAAAGGCCCAACTAGAGATAAAACTTCCAAATGTAATATGTGTTGATGCCAAGGGACTGGAGGTGAAGAAAAATAACACACTTCATCTTACTACTTCAGCCCATGTCCACCTAGGAAAAATGTTGGCTAATGCCTTTTTCGATATTGGAATTTATAGTGTTTTGATCAAGGCATGGGTGGAAAAAACATATTAAATGGGTAATATAGTGCTTGTTTGATATAGATTTAATATGTATCGATGCCAAGGGACTGGAGGTGAAAGAAAATGATACACTTCACCTTACTACTTCGGCCCAAGTCCACCTTGGAAAAATGTTCGCTGATGCCTTTTTTCGGATTTGAATTTAGTGTATTAATCAAGGCATGAGTGGAAAAAACATATTGAATTGGTAATATAGTGATTGTTTGATATAAAATTTTAGTCAACAATACTTTAAGAAAGTTGTTAAAAGACAATTTCATTAAAGTAGTTGTTAGTGGAAAAAAAATAATAAAAAAATAAAAAAAATAAAGCCGTGTTGCGTATTCGTTGCAAAAGACAAAATTCGTTGTCGAATAGACAAATATTTTCTTAATTAAAAAAATCAACGGTACAGTGATAATTATTTTTGAAAACTGATGTTGAAGTTACAGTTAAGGAAACCCATAGTTGCCAATTTGAATTGAAGTGTTCTACCCCCATCAGGCTTACTACCTCAAAAACTCATTCGCTTACTTTTTCATTCTTGTTTAGTTGCCTATATAATATTGTTGAACAAATGTTTAACTTGGTAGAAGCTTGTTGAGAAATTAATGATAATTACAATAGATGATTTTCACCAGAAATAGAACACTCGAAGCTTTTAACAACAACAAACATGTGTCAATCAATAAGACTAAATTATCTTGAGATTTACACAGATGTATCTTTAAACTTTTACTCAATATTTATTTTTTTCCCAAAATTTTGGAAAGTTTTCAATTTATTTAAATATTTAAAAGCAATAAAGGCATACGAAAATAACAAGAAGCTGACTCGCAAGTCAACTAACACCCAAACTGATAGTTACATTGTCTGAATGTAAGAACAAAAATAAGTTAAGGATTAATAGAAATACTTCCCATGTTATATTATGGCGCGTATCCAAGAGTTGATTGGTGCCACATAGTTCACCACATAGGGTATCCAATAAAATAATCATGAATAAATTTTTTTTTGGCAACGTACAATGTTGATGAGCCAGTCTAGGTAGTGTACATCTAGGATGGATTTTAATAAATGAGAACATCATTCAAGGATCAAACTAATCAAGCATCATCCATAGAGAGGGAAATGTGGTGAAGGCCCTCCCACAAATCCTTCCTAATAGAAGTCTCGCAAGAGGCATAGACAGGAGTCAAGAAGATGGGGCATGATTGTCAACAGAATTAATTGCTAATTGTTTATGATAGTGGTTGTGAAACATTTGAGCCATGTGAAGTCAACTGCGATTGCAATTAAAAGTTTCTATAAAGATTTTTTGATAATTAAGTTTATGTTTTATGTGTTATACATACAGTAGATAAGTCTATTTAAATAAAATTCATAAATATCAGTGAGTGGAGAAGTTCAAAAATAAATATACTTTTTCATATATGCATTTTTATCGAAATCAAGTTTACATCAATTAATAGATCACAACTTGCATATAATAATGATAATCAAGACAAGAGACATCATCATAATGTTGAAATATATAATCTCATAGTCATGATATAATCCTCAAATCAAAGCCATAATATTGTCTTATCACACCACCTGTAGTTCACCAAGAATGAACTCTCTTACTGAAGTATATAATCCGTCCCTTGGGCTAAAAACTTTTGCCACAAGCCTTTGGCACCCTCCGTGAATAAAAGTCAGTTTCAAGACCTTTGTTAATCAATTTTAGAACACGGCCAAGTCCCCTTTGCAAACTATATGTACATTGTCAAGATCCCTCCGTGTAGAATAGAACACGGTCAAAGCCCCTCTGTAAATTAGAATAAGTATATAATCATGGGTGCTTTTCTAGTCAATTTCAAAATCACATGTCACTTTCCAGTTTTTGAAAAGTTTGTATGGCATGTTATGAATCATACTATATCTAATAGTTTACGATTCCTCCTTTCAAATACACTATTATGTTGTAGTATACGTGGAGGAGTCTACTACAAGAGAATCTCATTCTCATTTAGATAATCTAAAATTTCATTCTTAAAATATTCCTACCTCGATCTGATCTTAGTGTGAGAATATCTTTATCTAATTGTTCCTCTGCTTCTAGCTTGAATCCTTGAACCTTTCAAGAGTTTCATACTTGAATTTCATCAAGTATACATGATCATTTCTGAATAGTCGTAAGAAAATGGGATGAAGCAAGAGAGACATCATCTTACATTAATTGACATGAATCCATATACATCATTATGTATTAGGTCAGTATATTATGCAGGTCTTTCTCCTTTAAGTAAAAGGAGATTTTGCCATCGTATATAATAGGTATGATTCGCACTTGTCAAATGATTCAAAATCAATTGACCCAAAGTATACATTTCTATGTAATTTTGAAATTGCATTTTTATTTACGTGACCAAGTCTGCAATGTCAGATGTAGGTGTTCATATTATCATTTCTATGCCTTTCCATTTCTATACCTATTATAGAATGTTTAGTATTTAGCATATAAATTTCATTTTGTAGTTTACCATAACCATTAAGGTCTTGTCAAAATAAAAAGAAACAATAGTTGTCCTTAACATTAAATTAATTCACGTCCAAACATGAAATTTATTTAATGTTCTGATAATTGAGGGTAAAAAGTAACATTTTTCTAACTCCAATACTAAGCCTTTAATGGGAAGAAGTATGCTCCTACAGTTAATGAAGTAACCTTAGCTCATTTTCAATGTGCAGGTCAACTTTTCCCTTTTACACCAGTCTACTTCTATTTAGTTCTCCATATTTTTAAAAATATGAAATCCACATTTAGTATCAAACACATAATAAGCCAATGAAGTAGATATAAGCTTTGCAATATTTCTTCTAATGACCTTTCATTCTATAATGAAAACAAGGGTCGATAGATTTGGCATTGTAGGTTTGCCACGCCACGTCATATCTGGTGTTCGAGTTTGATTGTGTTATTTAATTTCACGCCTAGTTAAAACTGCCTGAATACATTATCCACCTCTTACAATATGAACAATTAAGAACTGACTGGGGGCAACCCCAGCCAAGTTGGTCGGGCAGTTGGACTAGCAATCGTGAGGTTGCTAGTTCGATTCCTGTTGGAACTGCCTATTGGCCTTCTTAGTTTGAGCCGGTCAGCTATGGGTAACCTAGGTTGGTTTACCTCCTTGTGGTCCTTTGTCGGCTAGGATCACAAGGCGGGGTTTACCTAGTGCGCACCTTCGGATAGCGGCTGCGGGTTCCCTTGTCAAAAAAAAAATTAAGAACTGACAATCGGAAGTTATGACTATTTCTCATCCAAAATTATAATAGTGAAATCATTTTAATTTCTCTAGATTTTAGAATTTCAAAAATTAATTGCTAATTGTTTATAACAAAAGTTCACCACAGTGGTTTTAAAACTTTTGGGCAATGCGAAGTCAACTGTGATTGAAATTAAAAGATTCTATAAAGATTTTTCAATAACTAAGTTTATGTTTTATGTATTATACATACAGCAGTTAAGTTTTCTTTAAATAGAAATCGTATATATAGTATCCTAGAATTATTATTATCTACATTATAACTTAGATTTATTCACATTTTCTTAATTTAGAGTTTCCAAGTTGTTATAATATCCATAATTATAATTATTTTAATGTTAGCACTATTTACATCCACAATTTTATATGTACATCCACTTTTTAAAAAATAATTTTATTGTATTTTTAATCTTACGTAAATTTACCTAAGCAGACAAATATATAAAATTAACTAAAAATATATAGTTCTAAATTCATTTGCTCATATTTATTTTCATTAAATTATTTTGAACATTTTTATATTCTTTTAGATTTTGTATTTAACTAAAATCCCTATAATCATAAAATACCTTCAACTAAAATCATAAAACCCTAATAATCATAAAATATCATCTTCAACTGAAATCAAAACAACTACATAAAAGATTTCGTTAGAGGAAATACATACAGACATAGCAATATATGAAGAATAATTTGAAAAATTAAGGATTACATTTTATCCTTGATTATTATTTTTTGTTTTTTCTCTTACATTTTCATAGCAGAATATGTTAGTTGATGCACCATCTTTAGACGTTTGTAGAAGTACTAGACAAAAGACAAGAAACAGTGTATCTATTGAGCAATGATGTAAAATTTGACGCAATTGGTAGAAGCTTATTGATTATCAGCTGCAAACTAATTGAGAAGAAACTAGGGAATAAATCTGTATGAGTAGCTTTATTCAAAATAATTTGAGTCAAACACTTTCCATATTTTTATGCATGTCACCTGACATGTTTGATCTTGAGAAGATTTCCTATTTAGCCTTATTAGTGTTTTCAAAATATGCAAAATTCTTAATTGGTCTCTAGTCTGTGAAGTTTGGAAAATGTATAATTAATTTTCTAATATACTCCTATTTAATGCATCTTGTCATCAATGAAGAGAACAACTATTATTCAATGTAGGGGTATGTTGGAAAAAATATAAGTAAAATTTATATTTCTAATATTTATTAATTAGGTTTTCTTTAATCCGTGTGATTCAAATGCTCTAAAAATGTGCTTGTCTCGACAAATAACAAATAGGGATATCATGGAATGAAAGATAGATAAACAAGAATTTATATAACCTTTTCATGAATAAAATTTTGATGCAGGTTCATGTGTGTGTGTGTGGGTGGGGGGGGGGGGTGTTCATGCATTCTTGAACCAACCATAGAACATACCCAAAAAAACAAAAAGTAAAAAAAATGACACAGAATAAATCATCAAATTCGTGTATAGTCCTTTACGATTGCACCTCCGGTACGACTGGTCATGGATGTATTGCAAACTAGATCGAATTCAGTATATAATTTATTTTATTCTCGTAAACCAGTATTTTCTAAGGGATATTTTCAGTCAGCATGAGTATGAAGTATAAAAATCTTTCTCTTGGCCTAAGGTTTCACCGTAGTATATCTCCTCACCGGCTGCCATGGTCACAAATTATATTAGTCATGCTTCTTTCTTTAGAATTCCCGCTTAGGCTGAGCCTCCTGATCCTCACCTTGCTATCTAGGCCATGCTCATACGCAGGTGTCACGATGGGTTCTCTTTGCACGAAGGATGTGCAGTCGTGTGATAAGTGTAATTTTACACTTAATACTGGCCATTAAAAGTGGGCTCTTGGGAGACTTTCATGAGTTAAATACCTAATTTTGTGTGTTATTGATT